CTTCGGGAGGCTGAGAAGGAGGATTGGAAGCTTGAGACCAGCTTAGGTTACAAAGCGAGATGCTGTCCTCTCTCAAAAAGCAACCAATGCTTGGGGTGGTGGCGCACGTCTTTAATCTCAGCAGCCAGGAAATGAAGACAGGCGGATCTCTGTGAGTTCGATGCTAGCCTGATCTACATAGTAAGCTCCAGGAAAGCCAGGATTAAATAGAGAATCACTCTCCCCAAAAGTAGCCATAAATGGCTCTGTGTGGTTGTGGTTTGGATATATGAAGGCTTATATAACCATGCTGGAGAGATGGCATAGCCAATGAGAGCATTTGCTGCTCTTCCAGAGGACTTTGGGTTTGGCTCCCAGCATCCACACATTAGCTCACAACAACCACCTGTAGCTCCAGTTCCAGGGGACCAGACATTTCCTTCTGGGCACCAGGAATATATATGTTATACATACACACACACACATACACACACAGGAAAAACATTCATACACATAAAATAAAGTAAACAAACATGGCAATTTGGCTCAATGGCTAAAGGCACTTGGTGCCAAGCCTGATGCGCCCTGAGCTTGATCCTAGGATCAAGCGGTCGAAGATGAGAATGAATTCCAACGAGCTGTCCTCTGACCTACACAGGCACGTGGTGGCACATGCCATACACAGGCACAATCATCTTTTATAGTAATTTTTAAAAAATTAAAGATAAAGGTGATTAGCTCATGAGGGTGCTGAATCTTTCTTTGGTTTATCCACGGATGAATTTGCACTAAATGGGCTGTGAGAAAATGGGGCATACATAAAGGAAGTAGATCACTGGTGCCTTGTAAAAATATTCTGGATCGCTTCCTCTGTGTTCTGACCTCATTGTGACAAACAACCTTGCTCCACCATGTCCCTCTGTCACGCTTTTCTGACTCAACACAGCCCTGAGCGAACACACTGAAAACATAAGCCAAGTCCTTCCTCCTGGGACCTGCTGCCCTGGGTACTTGTCACAGGGTTAATAAAGCTGACGACGCAGGCTCCCTGTGTCCTCCCATCTCTGTGTGGCTGGGACTGTCCCTTTCAGTCCTGGAGGATGCCTCCAAATCTGTCTACTCCTTGGGCATAACACACTGGAAGACGTAAAGCCAGCGCTCCAGGCAATGGTGGGGTTAGGAACAAATGACAAGCTAGATACCTGGTTGGGACTCCAGCCAACCATTAATGGGTGGCGGCACTTTGGGCTCAAAGTCACCTCCCTCTAAGACTTAGTTTCTACATCTGCAAGATGAAATTAATAATAGCAATGACATTAGAAATCTACGGTGCCTTTTTGTGACTATAACCGGCAAACTGAGCGTGTTCCTGATTTTAAATGCCATCTCTATGCCCGTGACTCCGACTTTCACAAACTGTAGACTCAAATATCCAGCTTCCTACTCAACACACCAAATAGGCATCTTCAACCCCCATGTCCAAAACTGAGTTCCTTCTTCCCTCACCCCCACTCCTATTCCACACACCCCCATTCTCCACCAGCCCCTTCCTTCCGGTTGCATGGGCCAGGAGCCTGGGTGCTGTCTTACCGCCTCTTCCTCTCTCCCTACATTCCATCTGCTGGAGAGCTTGGTGTGGCTTTCAGAGCCTCAGAATCCATTCTCTCTCCTCTGGAGTCCTTCACCCACCTCCTGGCCTCTTCTGCCGTACTTGCTCTGAACTCTGTCCACAGCACAGCAGCCCCAAATTCACAGATCTCCTGTGCTTAGGAATTCCTGAGGCTCTGTGTTCACTCAGGGAACAAGCCCACAGCCCTCCTGGGCCACTTCCGGCCTTCTCAAGTCTTCCTACTCTGACCTCCTCACTGACCTCACATGCTGGACACACTCTCTCCAGGAAGACCAGTCCAAAGACCTCTGAACAACCTCAAGATCCTTGTTCGGATGCCCCATGAGGTGCCATGTTTCAGCTGGCATCCCATACCTCCTTGGTACCACCTTTTCCTCGTCCACTAGCATTCTGCTACGGACTCCTCAGGTCTGCTGCTTGCCGCCCGTTTCCCAGCTGCACCCCAACCACATTCCCATGGGTCGAAATGTGTCTTTTGTTCAGTGATGTTTATCCCCTGGCCCAAAGTCAGCTGAGAGAGAGAGAAGAGAAAGGAGAGAGACAGAGAGAGCGCCAGGCTAGCCTGGTGTCCCTCCTGAGGCAGAGTGCATAAGCTTTTACACAAGCCCTCACTCATGATAATGAGCCTGTCTCAACATCTCTGATGTCTGGGCCTCAGGATACGGAACTCCCCTCCAACGTGTAAGTCAGTTCTTTCTGCCCATCGCTAAGGGCCAGCTCTTCCCAAGGAGCACTTATTCCAGTTGTCAGATTATTTCCAAGGTAAGTCCTTGGTCCCTGAGCTGGGGCAGTTCAAGGCCCAAATGATGGATGCAATGAATGAATTCATTGAGAAGTCAGCAGTCCGCTCTTCATGGGGTGACAGCTTGTTCATTTGGGCTGCTAGGGGTTCTTTCCTGCCCATTCACTCTCTTTTGATTCAGCACCAGGGCCAGCGCTAGGCCCCCAGGTCTAGGAGGTGGAGTCTAGACTCTTAGGAACCTACTGGATCAGGCCTGGTTGAAAGGTTTGTGTTGAAGGATTCCTCCTGTAACTTTACCCAATCCCAGCCAGAGCCAAAGGCCATCGGGGAGAGGGGCCAAGCCCCATCAACACTTAGTCATTCCCTTCCTCAGCAGGCAGGATTGGGAGAGGGTGTGGGCCCTTCTGAGCAGGGTCCATCCAGACCCAGAAAACATGATCCTGGAGACCTCTTTCCAGAGAAGCTGGCACCCCACAGCCTCTGCCCCAGCTTGCAGGGGCAGCAGCTTCCTCCCGGTCTTGCTTGCTGCACAGCCCCACCTTTCTGCCACGCCTGGGCTCCTTCCAGCTCTCAGCTGAGTGCCGCTGCTTCTATTTTTAAATGAAACCAGCAGATCTTAATCCACCTCCACAGAAAGCTGGAGCTGCGTTGACTTTACAGACTACTTAGGGAAGACAGACGTCAGCCCCATTCATCCTCTCTACTCCCCTTGTCCCCCTGACCCCAGCCAGATTTTCCACATCTTCTCTCCCCAGGAGCGGGATGGTGGGGCTCCTTCCTCTCTGTGCGGCCCTGGCCATCCTGGAACTAGCTCTGTAGACCAGGTTGTCCTTTAACTCAGAGATCCGCCTGCCTCTGACTCCCGAGTGCTGGAATTAAAGGCGTGCGCCACTATCGCCACCGGGTGAGTCTTTAAGGATATATAGGCAAGTCCTGGTGGTACAGGGCTATAACCCAGCTATTTGGGAGGCTGAGGCAGGAGGATCACAAGTTTAAGGTCAGTCTGGGATACTTAGTGAGACTCTGTCTCAAAATACAAAAGTAAAAGTAATACCGGAGAGCTGCTGCTGGGGAGATGGCTTAGCGGTTAAGAGCACTGGCTGATCTTTCAGAGGACCTGAGTTCAAGTCCCCACACCCACATGGTGGCTCACAGCTGTCTGTAACTCCAATTCCAAAGGATCTGACGCCTACTTCTGGCTGCTGCAGGCACACTAGTGGTACACAGACACATGCAGGCAAAATATCCATATACATCAAAGAAACAACTGAAATATTTTTAAAAGAGAGATGGGAATGGGAATGAGTAGTATAACCTTTGCTGGATATATATAAGAGCCAAGGTTCAATCTCAAACAAAACACCAAAAAACAGCATACAATGGGGAAGGAGATGATGAGGGAGTCGGAGTATAAGAAGGACGGGGTAGAGTAACTTAATGAGCAGAAGGGTGATTTCAGCATGCTGCCCCAAGTTGCTCAGGAGTATGAGAAATCAGACCAAGCAAAGGGAGCCAGGCCAGACAGGCACCAGCACTGTGAGCCATGCCCACATGTCCTCCCAGGCGCTCAGATGTGGTAGCCATGTCCCTGAACATTCAGGCTCTTCTCCAGTCACATCCTCGTGTACTAGGGAGCGCAGAGTCCGGCATCTGCTGGCCCCACGTGTTCCTTTGTACTTTTCTAAGCACTGTGTACACCCTTAGTGTACAGTTGTTTCTCGGTACCTCAGGGGGATGGATCCAGGGCTCACTGAGGAGACCAAGATCTGAGGATGCTCGCATCCCTACTGTGAAATGACATAGTATTTGCCTAGCCTCACTGCTCGTCCTCCATACATTCCTCTTTGGACGATCACTCATACTGTCTGCTGTTATGTAAGCACTGTGTGAATGGCATCCACCCAGGACTGCCGGGGGAAGATAAATAATAAGGGAAAAAAGTCCTATGTGTTCAACAGAGATATAATTCTTTCCGGAGACAGAACTCAGGGCCATGTGCACAGAGGACAAACATTCTAGCATGGAGCTACATCCCCGGCCCTGCTTCTGTTTGTTTGTTCTTTCTTTAAGACAGGGTCTCACTAAACACAACACTGACTGGCCTGAAACTCATTATGCAGCCCAAACTGGCCATGATCTCACAGAGCCCTGTCCGACTGTGCCTCTCTACTGTTGGGATTAAAGGTGTGTGCCGCCACACCTGGTTGTAAATCTGTACCTGATATTCAGGCCCATGGTTGGTTGATTTTTTTTTTTTTTTTGGTGTGGACCCTGGGGTACAGGTTGACTGTGTGGAATTCTGAGACCATACTTAATTCTGCACTAACAGTACCACACTGTGTCTGTGCTTCACATCCCCAGCACTGCCCGTTAACCCTTTGTGTTGACGGGCGCTCACATCTTTCTTCCCATGGCTATGTTATTCTACATAGTAAGCACAGCACAGACGACAGAAAGCAAGTTGAGCTTTCGAGAGCAGACTGTTGGCTCAGTCACTCACGACCTGTGTGACTTTAGGTCTATTCGGAACCTTCTCTGGGAGAGGTAGCTCCTTTAAGCGTGAACTCTTCTGCGCGCAGGAGTTACGTGAGAACACGTGTCTGAAGGCTCGCAGCAGGGGTGGGGATCTGACTCGGCAGTTATCACGCATGAGGTTCTGGTTGCCCTTAACAACAGCAGCAGCGGTAACAGCAACACCTCCACACACGGAAGTCCGTGGCTTTTGCCTAAGCGCACCTCTCAGAAGAAGTCAGTGAGATCAGCATCTCTGGTAACTGACAATGGCTCTTCCCCTCGCTCCCTTCTTAGTCATCATACCCAGAAACAAGAACCCTGGGCCGTGTGGATGGCACTCCAACCCTAAGTATCTGATGGTGGCCGTGATAATACAGGGGCCACTGGAAAGAGGTCCCTTTCATACAGCAGAGGGCCAAATGGACCAGGAAACTGGTTAGGGATGAGTTTAGGTTCTCAGATTGCCCAGAGCTCAGGCCTGCTGGGCTCCTCCACTAGCCACTGGTCTAAGGAGGCTGGAGGACAAACAGGGCACCGTCCAAGCCCAGGCTTCCAAGGAGTCCTGGTCGGGCCTGAGGAGCAATATCCTGACAGGATGTGATGGCGGGTGGAGGCTCATCAGTCACCAGGGACATGGGTGCATGCACTGGCAGTCACCAACGCCTCATGCCTCGTGGAGGCACCAGCTATGCAACTCCCCACAGACAGACTGGTTATCAGGGGTACAGCACAGACATCAGGCTAGAGAGTGCCACGGGACACAGGTGGGGCTCTGTCTCTTCCTCTTGTCACTACTTCCAGTACCCACGGACTGCCACAGAGAGGGGGGCCAGAGCCCCTCCCCCAGGGAGCTTACAGAAATACCGTGTTTCAAGCCTGGGACAAAAGGCTGAAGTGCCGATTTAACAGCCCAAAGTGGGCCTGGCCGCCAGGTTCTCCCCGTATCCCAGTCCCTACCAGTTACAGGGCCCTCCTGGTTGGCATACCCCACCCCCTAACCCTAAACTTCTCCAGGCCGGGGGCTGGGCTGCTCTTCCCTATATAATCCACACCATTTTGATTACCGGGCCCTTTCATCTACTCTCTTTTGGGCCTCCTAGTTGTTGCTCCTGATTCCCCTCTCCCTCCTCCCCTCCCCCCACCCCTCACATGGCACAGCTCTGTCTGGTCGTGCCCACTCTGTACTCTCTGTACTCTCCCAGATGTTCCTGCCTCTGGCTGTGCTCTCCCATCTATCTATAATAAATGTTCTCCTCCGCCCTACATAGGACAGATTGTGTACTTTTCTTTCCCTTTTATTTCTTCTTCTTCTTCTTCTTCTTCTTCTT